GAATCACAAATAATATCAAATAATAATAGAAATAATATCAAATGAAAACTATTCAATTTTAATAATTCATTTAAGGAAATTAGGTCAATTTGTCCTCTAGTAGTCTAAGTATGTAGCAGCATAACAAGCCAACCCTAATTATAGGATTTATCAAAAAGGAAAAAAGAATGACAATCGTAAAGGAAAGCAGATAAATTGAGAAAAAGTCCATGAAAGAAGGTGATATTAAAAGAATTAAACAAAAACAGCTAGGTTGTAAAGCAATGCAGAATACTAAAAACAGGAACATGTCTGCATTGGTTATTCCCAGGAACTTAGCAGTTGTTTGAAGCCACTTAGAGCCATTAAGGTCGAGAGCTTCTCATCTTTTTGTAAGATATTTCAGGAAACAGGAGTGGAGTAAGAGAAGGCCCTTTAGCCTAGTTCAGTCCTCACTGAGGGGACACTGCAGGTAATAATGTCCCGAGAGCACACGCTGTAGCTGCACTAATGCAGAGACTTGTAGGAGGAGATGTCTGAATGCAGCAGACCAAGAAGTGATTTAAAGGTGAAAATGTACCAGAGAGAGTCTGTGTCAAGTTAATGATGTCCAGTTAACCAGTGAATATAGGGTGCAATGGTGTATACGATAGTTACAGCCAGTTATGAATCTTAGCGCACTATGATAGACAGCATCCAACATTTGCAGGGTGCTTGTAGGAGCGTTCATGTAAATAATGTCACCATAGTCAATGGAGGGAAGGAAATTCACAGTTACAATGGCGTTTTCTAGCATTCAGAGTTAAACAGGATCTGTTTCTGAAAAAGAAACCCAGTTTAACTTTCAGTTTCTTTACCAAATTTTCGGCGTGGACAGAAACTGGAAGTTGGTTCCACAAGAGAGGAGCCTGATAACTGAAAGGTCTTCCTCCCATTCTGCTTTTGGAAACTCTAGGAACCACAAGTAAGCCTGCAGTCTGAGAGTGAAGTACTCTGTTAGGAAAATATGGAACAATAAGATCCCGAATATAAGATGGAGCTAGGTTGTTGAGAGCTTTGTAGGTTAGAAGTAAGATTTTGAATTCAATTCTGGATTTGACAGGGAGCCAATGGAGAGAAGCTAAAACTGGAGAGATATGATCTATCCTACTAACTCCAGTTAAGACTCTGGCAGCAGCATTTTGGATCAACTGAAGACTTTTTAAAGAAGTATTTGGACACCCAGATAACAAACCATTGCAAAATCCGGTCTAGATGTGACAAATGCATGAAGCAGTTTTCTGCATTATTTCTGCATCAATTCAAAGAGGATGCTTTCCCACAGTTTATTCTGTAAAAAAGACTAAATTATTTGAACTATTGAACATCATTAGGATGTCAGCGTACTATAATAATAATAACATTTTAAAAAATCAAGCTGCATCAGCCTTTTGACTGAAGTGTGCACTAAATAAAACACTATAAGAATGAGTCATCAGCTGAGTCATACTTTTCCTGTTTGATGCTGAAGCACAAATGGTCAAACCGCTCCCGTTTCCCCTCACACAGACTAAAACCTTCTTTTTGTTCTGCTTTTTTCCACTTCTATCGAAAAGTTGCTTCTTAGCAGATGGCTGCTTGGAGGAGAGGACATACTCTGTTTGCATATGTTTTGGGCTACGCTCCCTGCAGTGCTATGTTTAGAGTGAATGTCCATAAAAAAGATGAGCTGAGCCAAATAGGCAAGTCTTTGACCATAACACTTTTTTTTTTAGCAGATTGGGGTTGGATTTATCAGATTTTGGTCTATTGCATCTTATTGCTGACCAGCAGTGCAAATAAATAGGCAAAGCTTCTTCTCAGGGAGGTCAGTGCAACAGAATGATTGCTTCCTGCTGTGCAGGCACTGCAGCCACCCTCTTTACTTGCATCTCTGTTTCCTAAAAAGAGCTGGCCACATGAAACACTCCTTGGTTATAGTGGGGCAGAAGGAGTCTTGGAAGTGTATGACTGAAATTACTGTGACACAAGAAACTGAAATGGAAAAATGTTCGGGGTTTGAATTTAATCTAGCATATCTTGATCAGGTGGAACTAAAATCCTAATAAGGAAAATATTGCCTTTTCATACGATAAACAAGAATATAGCAATAATGAAATGAGTTTCTCTTAGGTTACAAACTTTAAGTAACTGTGTTTTTAATGTGCTATTTGGATCTAAAGACATACAGACAGACATTAACACATGCAAATACCTGGTACTCAAAACTGTTAGTTTTCAAATACAACCCATTTTTAATTAAATTACTTATTTGTCATGGCTGCAGCTTTGAATAGATTGTTGCTTTGTGCAGTTTGGAGATTTCAGAATTCAATTAGCAACAGCTTGCTTGCAAAAGTCACACCCACAGTCATTAGCGTGTCTCTGTCACGTTATCTACCTTTAATGACAATGCTAATTTACAAGATGGCACGTTTGTTGAATGGCATGAATGAATTTTAACAGTAAAATTACACGTTACTGCAGATGGAAGACTGAGGTTTTTTCAGCACTGCATGGGAGTCACATCAATGTTTTTTTTTCTATTTGTAGTGCAGCTTGTTGACAAATCACAGGCTTGAATGGTTTGGGTTGTTGGCTGCATCAGCTGCACCTGCTGGCAAACCTCAGGCAATTTAAGGTCACAATGGCTCACAGTTATGGTCTTTATTAAAACTGCTACAGGACCATGTCCATGCACTCTTAACTCTTCCGTTGTTTGACCTCTGCAGTTGTTTTGGTGGTCAGTGCTGCGGTATCGTAATCCTGAGGCTGCAAAGGGCAGCTAGCGTCAAACAACTGCCAAATCTTTCATGTAAATTCACCCACTTCTCCATGAATGAAAGGAAAGCAACAACAATGTTGCATGTCCTTCAAATGTTATAATGTGCTTTGTGTATCTTTATTTGAAGCTTTAAAATAAGCACATATGAGCCTTTTTGAATGAGCTGATTGGTATTTATTGAATCCAACCCCTCATTGAAAATCAAAATTCAAATGAGAGCAGCTCATCAAGATGTATTTAAAAAAAAATTAACACTTGCATAGAAAGTCTGTACAATATGGAAAATAATGTAAAAATTAAATTAAATTTAAAAAAAAGGCTTGACAAATAAAAACAAGCATTTTCTTATATTTATAGACAAACTAATGTTAGGGAAAAGTATTAACCAAACTTGGTGTCAGAAGAAAATAATAAAGAACAAAAACATTTTGTACAACCTATGAAATCTACAATTTAAACAAAATTATAATTTTTTACTGATTTTATATTTGAACATTTTATGCTACTGCTAGAGCAACTGCTGTGTAAGTAACATGAAGGCTGTGAAACATCAGGTGAGAGGACCTGAGTCAGTCAGCAGAGATGATTAAAGACCATTTACAGTAAGAGATGCTATAGTGTTATTATTTTATACTATAATCCAGGGGTGTCAAACTCACTTACAAAAGGGGGCCAAAATAAAAACCTTTTTCAAACAAAGGGCCAATTTTAGAAATTATATTAACTCAAATCAGATACCTGACATCTTTTCTTGGTCACAGGTTCCTCGACAAGAGTTTGATTGGTCTCATTTGACGTTCTCTGTTGTGCTTTCGACATCATAATCAAATGTGACTGAAAAAATTCAAGAGATAAAAGTATTTTACGTTTCACAAATCATCTTGGGGGCCAGATAAGATGTCAATGAGGGCCAAATGTGGCCCTCATTGACATCTTATCCTATTATGGCCCTATTAAGACTCATCTGAACAAGAGAAAGCTTTGTTTCAATACATACTTTTGGATTTATAAAAAAATATCTATCTATCTATCTATCTATCTATCTATCTATCTATCTATCTATCTATCTATCTATCTATCTATCTATCTATCTGTCTGTCTGTCTGTCTGTCTGTCTGTCTGTCTGTCTGTCTGTCTGTCT